TCTTGCGATATCAACCCTCACATTTGAGGAATATGATATCAAAGGTAGGAAATTATAAAACTTATTATAAATAACTTATTCTTACATTTTCAAACAAAATGTTATAATTCCAATTTTTTATAGGATAATGGAGTTAGAATGATTAATGATTATATTGCGTCATGCTAAGACTGTGCTTATACATTTCTCATACCTATACCAATAATGCTACGTCAACTAGATTGTGTATCGTGCGTGAATTTTGTTTTAAATACAGATTGGTCTGAAAAATGTCTATACCTTTTACAATGTAAAAAATAAATATATAATGTGTAAGTATAATATTTTTACTTTATAATATTTTATAAGAACATAATATATGTGTTATTTATCAATTATAATACTAACTATCATGTTGATAATGCAGGAATGTTGATAGAAGACCTTAATTATAATATATCTTATTTATTTAGTGAATTTCGAACAAATATAATAAATTTTCATTTTCATTACTTCAATTATAAAACATCAATATTTTCTTTTAAAATTACGTATATTTTATAATAATAATTTAAAAATATGTTTGATATAATCATAAATAATTTTTTAAAATCTAATCTCGTGCATAATACGGGTGATATGCTAGTTACCATTAACCATAATATGCTACGTTCTTCTAGTTAAGTCAGAAATTATTCAGTCTTCCTCAAACTTGGTCCTGTATTTATTTAATAATATTTTATAATTTTTTCATGCAAAGTTATTGAATAATCCTAAAATTCTTGTGACATTTCTTACGTGATGGTACTAATTAATAAGTGAAAAATTACGACACATATTAAGTGAATTATCCTATCTCTTAATTAATTAAAAAGGTAGAGTGAGGACGCTCTACACCATTGATTAGAAGTACCGCATAAGTAATGTGGCATAGTATTTCATCACTACCCAACATAAAATGCTACATTGTTCTTTGTTTGTCTAGTCAACTAAATATTACTATTGAGTCAACACACAGTTAATATGAAATTTCTAAAAGATATGATAATTATTTATTTAGATAAATTATAATTACATTCTTTGATATTTGTTTAAAATATCGATTGCTCTTTATAATTTGAAAAATTATAAATATCTCATTATCAGAATTTTTTATTTAACACAATTAATTAAAATTATAAAATTCGTAACTACTCTCATATATAATAATAAAATTACTTAAATTATTAATTGAAATAAATTTCTGACATCATTAAAAACTGTTAATTGACTTGATAATTTATTAATAAAATAGATTATATGTTATGATATTGAAAACTTCAAGAGGCGGGGTTGTAACTTCAAGAATCATAAGGGAAAATTTATAGAGTAATGGTAGAGACCTTAAAAATTTTACTTAAAGTTTTACCAAATGTTTTACATGGGTATGAGACCCACACAATGTGGGTTCCATGTGAGTCTCACACCATGTGAGACATTTAGTAAAACTTTTGATAGAATTTTTAAGGTCTTAAGCATTTTTGAAATTTATATTTTAAGTGAACCTCGGAAGGTATATTTGTAATTTATACTAATTAAAATTATACTTCCTCACACCCCATTAAGACAACCTAGTAGCTTAATCTCAATAATTATTGATAGGGAAATTGTCCTATACACATCTCCTATCATATGCACCATTAAGTCATGTGATTTTTTCTTCAATTATGACTAATTTTCTTCTTTAGCTATGACTCATGAAATTTTTCCTTATGCCTCATATGTTGTTTGACTAGGACTTTTTTTTTTTAATTTTATTTTAGTTATAACTCAGAAAGTATGAAATTATATAATTTTCTTCTTTAATTATAAGGTTAATAAGGTACACACCATTTGAGGGATAAAAACCATAGTCTTTCTAAAAAAGTGATATTAAATAAATAAATAAAAGGAAAAGTAGTCTCGATGTTTGAAAAAAATACAATAAGGCTTATAGTTTTTGTATAATTACATTGTGCACCTTTAAAGTTTTAATTCATACAATACTTAGTTCAATTTTGTTCAATAATTTGTTAGTCATACGGTACACACCATTTGAGGGATAAGTACCATAGTCTTTCTCAAGAAGTTAAATTAAATAAACAAATAAATAAAAGGAAAACTTCTCTCGATGTTTGAAAAAAATACAATAAAACTTATAGTTTTTGTATAATTACATTGTGCTCCTTTAAAGTTTTAATTTATACAATACTTAGTTCAATTTTGATCAATAATTTGTTAGTCATATAAATGAAAAACAATAAAGTCGTCTCCTTTTTAGTGAAATGCATATTTTACTTTATTTATCTTTATGTTTTTGCATCATCTACATTATTTTTAGTCTATTTAACTTGACTAAATGGAGATCGGCGTAATTGATATTATATCAAGGGCAATACTATGGTATGCAAGTTTTGTCATTTGTGAGTTTAATTATCACAAATGCATAACTTAATAACATGAGAGGCATAACTAAACAAAAAATTGGGTTATAATTAAACATTACATAAGATATAATTAAGTAATTTTTTAATCATGATCAACATAATGTCATAACCAACATTGCAAAGTGTCCTAACTAGCAATACAATAAATCATAACTAAAAACACAAAAATTATAACTAATGTATGTGATACACACCTCAATAAAAAATTTTATTATATCAAAACTATAAAACTTCCTATATTTTATTTAAATCTTAAGAGAGACTGTTGTATAAAAAGTAAAAATAAAAAAATAAAAAGCCCCTTGGGACTTTTTTGGTCGAAGGAACGATATGCTTCACTGCCAAATGGGTCGAATGATTACATTATTTTATTTATTTATTTTTTAAAGTAGCATAGTTCACTTGGATTTGATGAGGGAATCACCATTGAATGATAATATTTATTATCATATTTATGCTTTTTGAGATGAAAATATTTTACCATGGGTACTCATGTCAACTTATTTCAACGAGTCAACACAAACTTTTCAGATTCACCCATTTTTTTCAAAATAATAAGCATGTCCAATGTATAAGTGTGAAATAATACTCAATGTAAATGAGTAAGAAAATAGTTTTAATTCTCCTAATTCTCATACAATTTCTACAACAATCATAACTATTCTCTACCAATAGCCTAAAATAGATATTTCTAAATAGATTAACAATTGTCAATAAAAATAAACTTCCAAATTTCAAGATGTGAGTGATAATACATATCCAACTCCATCATTCTCATCAATATCAATCCAACCACATTTCCAACATCAATTCATTATTTATATAAAATCCACATTTGAGTCATTTAGGGCAAAATTCATTTTTCTTCCAAAGTCAATATCAAGTATCAAAATCAACCATTTCATCACAACTTAACTTTATTTACAATACTACAATCATTTCCAAGAATCTATTTGAAAACCCTTCTTTTCATCTTTAACCTAAAACCCCCTATATTTGTTTCAAAAAAATCTCCAAAATCACAATATTGTTTTAAAATAACAAATAACTAAGTTAAAACTCATAGAAAGTGCGAAGAATCCCCACCTCAAGCTTAGAAGGAGAGAGAGAGAGAGATAAGGAAACACAAAGACGTCAAAAATCAACTTCGCTCAGAATAGAACAAAACCCTCGTCAAGCTCTACCTTTTTAACAAAGGGACATAAGTGAAAAAATCGATAGATCTAGGTGTATTTGAGTGAAATAAATGGGTTTTAATAAGAGAGTGAGAGAAAATAGGGTTTTGAAATGTTTAGAGCGAAAGAGAGAGTGGTGAAAAAGTGACTTAGAAAAGAGACTTTACGAACTGACATACACGCAAGTCACTCGAGTGCAAAATGTGTCGCTCGAGCGTCCAGACACAAAAGATATGACCGCCCGAGCGAAGAAGTTTGTCGTTCGAGCAAAGAATACAGACTCCCAGAAGTTTTGCAGACAGAAGACCCACGCTCGAGCATAAAAAGCACCACTTGAACGAGTCTTGCTCAAGTGCAAGAAGGACTGCTCAAGCGAAGAATCCCAACTCCTAGTATCTCCACAAACCTAAAAAAATACTGAAAGTTCACAAAGACCGCTCGAACGCAAGAAGTGTCGCTCGAGCGAAGAAGCCAAAATTTGGGCAACAACCATCTTGAAAAACTAACGCCCGCCCTTTCCAAATGCAACTAAAACACAATGATAACCAAACTCGATGAAGTGTAAGACGAAATGGGACATGAACAACCAAATACAACAATAAAACTCATATCTAAAACATCAAATGGGTCAGCTCTAAACCAGGATCGCTATAAGCATTTTATTAATTTAATTTGTTACTGCCACTACAACAAAATTGAATTTTTATGACTTGCAATGCATGTCGTAAAAATTCTTTCATGGCATGCACACAAATGCCGTTATATGACATGCCGTGAAAAGTTTAGCATCATTTACGGCATGCAAGTAAAGTTATAAAAAGTAGTAAATTAAACATTAATGACATATTTTGTATGTTGTATATAATTTTTTAAGACATTTTTATCATGCCATAAATCATCATACTTTCCATGACATAACTTTGCATGTCGTAGAAGGTTTTTTTTAATATATTTATGACATACTTTGTATGCCGTATATAATATTTTACGACATTTTCTTGCATGTCATAAATCATCACACTTTTCACGACATAATTTTGTATGCCGTAGAAGGTCATTTTTAATATATTCATGACATACTTTGTATACCGTATATAATCTTTTATGGCATTTTCTTACGTGTCATAAATCATTATACTTTTCATGACATAATTTTATATACTGTAGAAGGTTATTTTTAATATATAATATATATATATATATACATGAATACAACCTTGCCTAACAGTGTATAGACAGTAGCTTATAAAATGTAACATGTTAACAAACCAAGCAAAAGTAGCAACTATGAAATAAGCTAAAAAATCTAATATCCAACTGGTCCCTTCACATTATTTCTCTGCAGAAAGTTTTTTTTTTTTGGGGGTAAGTTTTGGGCATTCACACATCCTTTTCAAATGAAACCATTACATTCTATTCATCACGGGATTCGAAATAAATGTCTTTTTGTGGACCATTACTACTATTAATTATCCATCACAGACCCTACCTTTGTCTTAAAATGCCAAGGAACATAGGAGAAAAACAAAGAACGATATGAGATGTCTGAACACTATTTTGTAGAGAAAAAACATTTCTTATGGAATACAAGAATGAAATTATCTCCAAGGACTACATCCCACCATAGAGGATTTTAAGTTCTTTTAATATAAAAACGCTTGCAGGTTTTTCCTGTGAATTAGTACAAATCCATTCCCTTTTTCTCTTCCAAACATGATGAGGAAATCTCATTGTGTGTGCCTATTTTATATGCTATTCATTCAGAAAGTAAGAAGACTTATTTATGCAATGGGTGAATATTTAACCTCTGAAGAAAGATATTATGAGTGCAAGACCCCCACATACCTGCAAGAGCTCGGTGTCCTTGGAGGCAACCTCAGCTCATGGCATATGAAATGATGACAAACAGAACCATGGGAATCAGAAAATCAAACGCAACCAACTGAATTCAATGTAAAATGAGTTAGATTATTTCATAATAAGATTAGAAATGGCAAAGATAAGTTTGACAACTCTGTTAATTTAATTACTATGTGAAACCTACTTCTGTAACATACACTTCAGATCCTTGAGTCCCCTCAACTGGCACAAATCAAAATAAATTGTCTTAGATAAGCCCTTCAAAATAAAGCGTTACGGTTGCAAAATGTTGCAGGGAACAAATCAATATATCAAGTATAAATTCATAGTGAATCGAGACTGCCAGTCAGCCACTACTGGAATTTTCTAGTTGCAAAACTAAAAAACAGCTTGCTTGTTTTCATTTTTCAAAAAATTATACTTTCTTATTTTTCGTATTTTTTTGTTTTTATTGATTTTTTTTAATATTTTAAGTAATTTTTTTTTACTTTTTAGACATACCTAACATAAATATACCTAAAAAGTAAAAAATTTGTAAAAAAAATCTTTTAAAATTCACTAAATACAAAAAATACCAAAAAAATACAAGAATTCAGTACATTTTTTTATATTTTTATATATTTATTAATTTTTTAAAATATTTTTTCACAAATTTTTTATTTTTTAGGTACATCTAACTAAGGTGCATCTAAAAAAGTAAAAAAAAATGTTTAAAATTTAAAAAATATTCGCTAAAAACAAAAGAATACGAAAACCAAAAAACTCAATTTTTAAAAAACTTAATCCAGAAAACTCAAACAAAACACACTGAATAGATTCTAATAATTCTGTGTTCAAACAGCTACAATAGTTGCAAGGTGACTCTCGTCATACAGAAATATAAGGCATTGTTCAACAACAATCTCAAAATTACAACTAACTGACCAATAGAGAGACAACTGTTAGAATAATATATGATTATTTGGGTTATTATTTTATAATTATATTATGCCTTAGGGCTTCATAGTAGTTATTAATCTTCATTAATATAAATTTGGGATGATATCCTAATCATTCCCTAATCTTGTATTCTCTAAAAACATCATGGTATCAGAGCCTAACCCTAAACCTTAAACCCATCTACCTATACTGTTCCTATTACCCATCGGAGTCACTAGCCACTAGCTGTCGTCGCTGTGTTCGACCAACAAGGGTGAGCCGAAACAATAGATTGTCATCAACCCACCCAAAAATACTTGGGTGGAGCCGAAACCCCTCAACAAAATAAGGTGGCGGAATGCAAGAATTGACATCTTCTTGACATGGCTCGGTGCATGTGTTTTTCTATGAGTGTGCCTCGGTCCTACTAGAGCGACGTTGTTCTCACTGCTGCCCATCTTATTAATCATCTTCCTACCACTTATTGCAAAAACAAGCTCCTCTTCAAGTCCTCCTAGGTTCCCAGCCCTTGTTTTCTATTCCTCCTAAAATATTTGGTTATGTCTGTTTTGTCCATAATCACTCTCATGCTCGTGGTAAGTTGGACCCTCACTCCCTCAAATATGTTTTCCTTAGGTACTCTCATACTCAAAAAGGGTATAAGTGTTACCACCCTCCTTCTTATAAGTGGTTTGTGTCCATAGATGCCATATTCTTTGAGTCCCAGTTCTATTTCTTATCCTCTCCGGTGTCACAGTTCTCCCTTCAGGGAGAGCCTTAGTGTGAAGTGATTCATGTGATTCCTATGGTGGAACCAGTTGTTCTTGCACCACTACCTCCTACTGGGACTGCAGAACCCAATGTCACCAAGGATAGGGAAGGGCAAGTTTATGTCAGGGACAAAGATAGACAGAAAGTTAACTGGATACAAGAGACCACTTCTGCTCCTCCACTGCCATCTCCTGCTTCGGATGAGAGTCCAAGTAACTTTGAATCTCTTGAGTCCATTGATCTTGATGTTCTTATTGCCAAGAGAAAGGGTGTAAGGTCTTGTACTCAGCATCTTATCTCAAATTTTGTGTCCTACTCTCATTTGTCGTCCTCATATAGAGTGTTTGTGTCCAATTCTTTCTCTGTTAGCATTCCTAACCATTTTCAAGATGCTCTTACTACCTTTGACTGGAAACTTGCCATGATTGAGGAAATGAAAGTACTTAAGAAAAATGGTACTTGGGAATTGATTGAGTTACCTAAGAGCAATTGACTTGTGGGATGTAAATGGGTGTATATTGTGAAACACAAAGCGGATGTTTCTATTAAGCGTTATAAGGCTAGACTTGTAGCAAAAAGGTTCACTCAGACGTATGGCGTTGACTATTAGGAGATCTTTGCATCCGTGGTTAAGATGAATTCAGTCAGAGTGCTTTTCTCTTTAGTAACTAATCTAGATTGGCTTATTCATCAATTTGATGTAAAGAATGCCTTTCTCCATGGTAACCTCGAAGAAGAGGTATATATGGACATTCCTCCTGGTTTTGAGGATTATTAGACAGAAGGCAAAGTATATAGGCTTCGGAAGTCATTATATGTCCTAAGCAGTTTCTGAGAGCTTGGTTTAAGAGATTCACTCAGGCGATGCTTAAATATGGCTTCAAACAGAGTCATGCAGGTCACACCTTGTTTGTGAAACATTCCTCACTTGGTAAGACTACAACATTCATTATTTATGTAGATGACATAGTTCTTACGGGTGATGATAATGAGGAAATTCCTCTGTTGAAGAAATATTTAGCTAGTGAGTTTGAAATCAAAGACTTGGAGCGCTTGAAGTATTTTCTGGGAATTGAAGTTGCTCTCTCCAAGGATGCTCACAAAGGAAATATGTGCTTGATCTGTTGAAGAAAACTGGGATGCTTAGTTGTAAGGCCTTTGATACTCCACTGGAACCCAATCAAAAGCTGGGGGATGATGAAGGAGAAGCAACTGTTGACATGGAGAGCTATCAGCAATTAGTGGGTAAACTCATTTACCTATCTCACTCTCATCGTAATATTGCTGCTGCTGTCAGTGTGGTTAGCCAGTTTATGGATGCTCCTCATCCGATTCACTTCAAGGCTGTCATGAGAATTTTGAGGTACTTGAAGTCTGCTCCTGGTAAGGGTCTTTATTTTTTAATGTATGATCATTTTCGTGTGGAAGCCTATACAAATGCTGACTGGGCTGGATCAGTGACTGATAGAAGATTGACTTCAGGGTATTGCACCTTTGTTGGAGGCAACCTACTTACTTAGAGGAGTAAGAAACAAAATGTGGTTGTCAGGTCAAATGCAGAAGCTGAGTTTAGAGCTATGACACAAAGGGTGTGTAAACTCTTATGGATCAAGTTCTTGTTGAGTGATCTAGGTATTGATCAGACGAACTCCATGCGGTTATACTGTGATAATAAGGCTATTATCAACATCACTGACAATCCGGTTCAACATGATAGGACAAAGCATATTGAGAATGATTGCCACTTCATTAAGAAGAAACTCACTAGTGGCACAATATATACTTCATTTATGCAGTCTGGTGAACAACTTGCTGACATCCTCACCAAGAAAATGGGAGTAAGCCATTTCATGACATTTTTGGCAAGCTAGACATGAGAGATATCTTCGCACCAGCTTGAGAGAGAGTGTTAGAATAATATATGATTATTTGGGTTATCATTTTGTAATTATTTTATACCTTAGGACTTCCTTGTAATTATTAATCTTCATTAATATAAATAGGGGATGATATCCTAATCATTCCCTAATGGTGTACTATTTAAAAACACCAACAACCACCATGCACCTTCAGGAAATTGTATATGCAAATAAGCTTCCAACAGAGTAGTTACAACCAATGAGAGAGAGAGAGAGAGAGAGAGAGAGAGAGAGAGAGAGAGAGAGAGAGAGAGATGCCCAATAAATCAAATCATGCTATTATAAATCCGATAATAATATCAATGATAATACTAGCAGTAGTAGTAGAGGTGGTGCAGAGTGTGAAAAAGACAGAACAAAACCACCAGCTCAAGACGGACTGAAATTTTGATTTTCAGTTTGTTTTTTATTTTGATTTTGAAAATTTCTACACCGATACAGACCCAAACAAACCAATATATTTATTTAAATACTTTATATTTTAATCTTTTGAACATTAGAAGCTAACTGACTAACAAACCAACAAAACCAAACCGTAGCATGCAATTTGATTCAGTTCTTCAATCAACAAAACTGAAAATTCCAATTCAGTGCTAAATTTTCCCTCATTCGTGACCAAACCGTTTACACCCCTAGGTGGTGGTGGCCAGAGGAGGAAAAGGTGGACCAAAAGAAGAGGAGATAGATATAAAATGAAGTAAAATTTAATTTCAAAAGTTGTCAAACACTGTTGGACATATGCGACTCACCAGATGCTTGCGTTTTCTTCCTTTGCTCTCATCAACCTTAGAAGAATCCACCTTTACTACCTAAGCGGCTTCACAAAGCTATAATTTGAGGGAGGGAGAAAGATAACTAGGAGAGAGATTATTGACATGTGAAGCACCTAAATTAGGCATCTTGCAAAGCTTTCACAACTGTTTCTCCTTGGCCCACAACCATCAGGACCGAGACACAAATGACAAAAAATTGTGATAAAAATTTTATAATTTTTTGACAGCATAATTAAACGCTATACTTTATCTATTAAGTAGCCCACAGAATCATTTTATACCAAGTCCTGTGGATCCAAATATGCAAGTATATCAAAGGAAATTCATTAAGACATGAGACATTCTTAAATAGCTCAGAACAGTATTTATGAGACAATTTCGAGTTCTACAAGGTGATACTTCATAATTATTGTTACCCAGAATCCCTACTCCTTGAAAAACAAATAGACAACTTTTATTTATGAACTCATCCTAATGAAATGCTAAGCAGAATCTCACACCACAACATGGAAGCATGCAGAATCTCACACCACAACATAGAAGCATCATACAAAGAGAGAAACAAACTCTATTTTAATTTTTCTCCATAAGGGTAGCACTCTCTAGGACCTATCTATACAACTCTACATCAGCCATTTGACCAATATCACAACAATGAAGATATTTCTTTCAAGGAAAAAGATACAAGCACCAAGGAGTTCAAAAGTGCCAGGCAGTCATTCTCGCCACCACATGAATAATTTTGAAACACACTACGATATTACAAAAAAAAAAAAAAATGCAACACTTAACCTACAATGATTTCTATAGAAATAGGGGGAAAAATAATGACATGATATGAAACCAGTTAACAATAAAAAATGTTTAAGCATTAACTGAAAAATATAGAACTATTACTGGTTTCATATTTCATTTTATGTACACAACATACAGAGCACATAAAACTAACCATTATTAACTGAAATACAATATATTGAAGACCAGTATGCAACTAATAAAGCAATACCTTATACTTCTGTTCTTTAGTAAGAGTACCAGGCATGGTCACATCAATCATATTCATAGCCACCTGTGCAGTTTGGAGCACTTGGCCTCTTTCATCATCTATAGGATTGCCTTCGTCTTTGACTAATACTGCATCAACAGAGCTGGCCTGCTCTCATGTACCATTGCTCTTTTGTTGCAATCCTTCATCTTCAATTTCAGGATTTCTCTGTGAATCACATCTGAATCTTGAACTGATGCTAGCTGAGATATCACTTTCTCCAAGCCTCTCCTCTGAAGGATATGAAGAATACCCATTTAAAACATTTGACTAGGAAAGATTCAGGAGTTTGTTTACTCTACCACTTTTATCAGATGATGTGCCTTCCACCCATGCTAAACCTTTTGAAGGATTAAGGGTAACATCGACATCTTTCAAAAGAGGATAGCGGCCTTTTAAAAGTCCAAGTTCCACAGCTGCAAGCCACTGCACATACCATGTGCATACTCATAACATTGAGAGTTGCACAAGTGATATTTACATTGGCCAAAATCCTAGTATACCACTATCAAACATGTCCATTCCATATCAATAAAACCAGAAGATCATTACATATGGTGATGGTGGCGAGATCAGTATCACACATGCAGACATACATCATTCAAACAATATCCAGATAACTGAAATAGGCATAAAATGAAATTATTTGTCCCAAGAAAATAATTTTTGAAAATATTGGTACTCCTTCAACCCCAAATAACTAAGTAGTCCAATAGTTCTTTTACTTTAATACGAAATTGACACATTAACACTAAAAATTGCCAATTGATTTTGAATTTAAGGACTAGAACTAAGTAGTCCAATAGTTCTTTTATTTTGATTTTGAGTTTATGACTTGCTTTAAAAATTGTCAATTAACAACTACCCATACAAGATTAAATCATCTTTGTCATTAATTAAAACAAAGAATGCCTAAAACAATAAAGATTTACACAACAAAATAAATAGGTTACAAAAAAGCAAAATATTAAATTAATAATCAAAACATCTTTCTTCAATAATTTTCCATTTTGCTCTTTAGCTACAAGGTTAAAAGCCTACGCTGCTGTATTCCAGACTTCTCTTTCATAGTGATCATATCTCTATATAGTCATTGCCAAAAGTTGTAGCATTTCTCACCCTCCTTGCCAACGTATGGTTGTAGAATTAGGAGATGGAAAATACATCAAATTCAAACAGAAATACTGGGCATGTTTGGTTTGTCTCTCAAAACACGTTTTTAGCAAAAAAAAAAAAAAAAAAAAAAAAAAAAAAAAAAACTCCAAAAATATGTTTGGTTGAAATTTTTTAAGAACATTCAAAATTATTTTTTCTCTCTACTTACACATCAATCCTTACTTTTTCTCTCTCCTCTCTCATTCTCAATCACTTTTTCTCTCACACCTATCTATTCAACTACAAAAAAAAAAAAATATCAAATCATATTAAACTCCAAAACTCTAAAACTATTTTCAAAATATATAACCAAACAAATTTTCAAATTTTCTAAATTCTCTTCAAAAAAATTATTTTTGAAATAATATCTCAAAACACAAACCAGGCCACTAAATTGGAAGTGGCATTTAAATAATTGAAGGGGAGAGTACATACCCACAGTTTGCAGTTTGCAACGGTTGTCAACAAACTTGTTTGATGCCCTTGAGAGATTAGCATGAACTTGACTGGTAAAATACGAACTACTTAAGATTTATAAAACTAGTTAAGATTACACACTCTCTTCCTGCAAATGTACATGAATCAATTAGAACCCACAGACAATGAAGCATGAGTCCCAAAAAATAGGGGAACAACTTTAATGTCTTCAAGTAACAATTCATTGGTTATTCAAACTTCATTCATAAACAAGAAGAAGGAAAGTCTAGAATGTATCTAAATACCAACGAACTCAAGAAGATAGAATACCAACAAACTCAAGAAAGCTAGAACAATTACCAGGGCAATAGTGGCTTTTGTAAAAATGCTGAAAGCATAGCTTGTTAACACTTAGAAATTGTATCAACAACTGTAACAAGATATGTTATGTTACCTACAGGTACTTTGTACTTTGAACTCATTTAAAACAAAAATCAAAATTTTTAAAAAAAAAAAAAAAAAACAAGAAAGGGGATATTTGCATTGGTGCTTAGGATTATGAATCAAGAAGAAATGATACTATCAAGTTGCTTGTTGGGGTTGGCTTCCAGGTTCAATTTAAGCCTCAAGGTTCATTTTTTCTATTGGTGGAGCTTCCTGAGAATCGTGCGCTATATCTGATGTATGTGTCTTCTTTACCTAGTCTATTCATATCAAGAATCCAATACATATATACTGTTGTCAGTTATAAGTTTCATATTGTTTCATATTGTATAAGTATGACACATAGAATGATGCAGATACTCATGAATGAAATTCACTATGTATTAGAAGTTTGATTTTGCAAATATTATAATGTAATGGACTATTATGGATAGCTTGAAATTTCAAAATATCATTTAACCGACTCCAAGTAGTCAATTTGAAAGCTAACAGTCGGATTTTGATTTCACAGAGTGCTTCATTTATTTGCATATTGATTTCTATACAATTGGAAAGCAGAGTGAAGTGAGAGTGTTGATTGTGGGGTACCATAGCAACGCCCAGGTAAAGGATATATTTTGACTCACCATGTCCCTTCAGTAACATTTATATTTGACAAAACATATAAATCGAGAAATGATGAAATTGTATATGAATTCTATAGGTTGGAAGCAAAAGTGCTGAAATTGTTCCTTTTATTTTTGAGGGAGATTGTAGAATGGTTATTGTAATCAACTCAAGAACTTTATTTTCATATCAATTTGGAGTAAATCCAATTATGAAAAGGTCGAATGTACCAATGACAGATTCAACCCAAATTATTAAATATGACAATTCACATTTTATAACTTAACTAGGAGAGTAAGCAAGCTACTAGAAGCGAAGCTTTTGGCTCCCCTTTTTTCTAAATCAGTTGTTTAACTTGGACTTCCAAGTAAACATTGAATTGTTGTCCATGCTTAAAAGCACCATCTTGAGGTCTAAAAATAGTTGGAGAAGCAGTTGAAAGACACATTGTGTGGTGTTCGATTCATATATATGTTACAATCTTCTTTTTTTTTAAATAAATATCAAATGTTTTATATTTTTTGTAAATATTGTAAATGATTTTTTTTTTTCCTTTTGCAGATTCTACCTTTTTGAGTACGTGGTGATATTTTCGCATATTGATATTGGAGCTTATTGTTGATACTAAAACAACTTTAATATATATGTTTTTTTATTTGTACTGTCAATATTTTTGTTTTGTTTTAGATACAAATTTGAGTTTTTGAATTTTCAAAAATTATTAGTATTGTTGGAGGATGTTTTATATATTTTTGTAAAAAATGTTTGGTTGACAATGTATTATTACAAGGTACATATATATTATTATTTGTGTATATGATTTTGTGGATGTGAATGTGATTGTGTGTGAATGTTGATGTATTTTATGTTAGAAAATATTAATAATTTGAACAGGCAATGAATTGATAAAATATATATTTATTTTATGAAAATAATTTTTTTGCAACAGTAATAAACCATCACTATGTAATCATCATTTCCTTACATTTTATTAGTAACGGGTTAACTTGTCGCATATACATATTAGTGACATCTTTAGCGACGGTTTAAACTATCGCAAATGCATCATTGATTTAATTCTTTTTTTCTTCTTTTGTTTTGTTTTGTTTTGTTTTTTTTTGCGACGTTTGAGACCTTCACTAATAATACTTTTCGTGACATTAACTGCTGTCTCTAAAAAAATTTGGTGACAACATCCTTAACCGTCGCTAAAAGTGATGTTTTTCTCATTTTTTTTGTGTCAGGTTAAACCGTCGCAAAAATCATTCATTTACCGTCACTACGAGAAAGACACAGTTTGTAACCGTCGCAAATACCTTTTGTCACGCCCCCTTCTGCCAACCCTCATTTCCCGTCGCTACTCCGTCGTAAAATTTGCGACAACATGTTGACCTTTTACGACGTTTGAGACCATTGCAAAATGTCTGATTTTTTGTAGCGATTGTCTTTTGAAAGGTGGTTAGTTTTATAGTGAGCTAGTGCCCTGTAGGAAATACATTAAACAAGTTATATAAATAATCGAGATGTATATTGACATGGGCAAGCCCATAAAGGTTATAGCCCACCACTTAGGGCCCAATACATAATTCAAATTCTAAAGCCCAGCGCTGCTAAAACTCAACATGGCATCAAGAACCAATGACATTTGAACACGTGGCAAGAGAAGGACAAGTCATATAAGCTAACAAAGATCCTGCAAAGTTATTGCACTGCACATCAGCCATTAATGAAGTCCCTTACAGCATTTATTGCGATAACCCCTCCCCGTCGAGACAGAACAGCCTCACCATGAACAAGGCAAGCTAGAGCATAGACTTCGGCCAAGATGACAGATCGGAAGGACAACGAAATGATTACCAGAGGCTATAAGCAAACATCGAAGATAAGAAGAAGGTTAAGCTTTCTATTTCTAATCTATCTCTATACTCCACCTCTCTTTCTAACTTGCTCGTCTGAGGGTTCGTTGGGGGACTCCCCGTTCCCCGTTAAACTCTTGTGCAGGTTCCTCTGTA